AGCCCATGGAATGGTTTGCTCTTGTCTGTCCTGTCAACGTCCAGATGGTGCTCCTGTAGGACACCTGCACGTATCCGTGGTAGAGCAGTTGCTTGATGAATTTAATCCCCCCAGTACCTCCCCTGGTCAGTTATAGGGCAGATGGTACTGCAGCTGCACGGACCCATGAGGCCAGGGAGCAGCGGGACAGAAGGGAAGGCCAGGATGCATCTGAGCTGCACGACCTGCTCTTCTTGCTGGTTTTTGTTGTGTTTTCTTTTTGTTAACTTTGTCCCTGGCATAATTTCCCACTTTAAGTAAAACAAATCTCCCCAGTATCGTGTATGTTTAAAACAACAGAACCCTTACTTCCTCCTTTGGTAAAAAGAGTCAGTCTTCATCATATACCTTTTCAAGCCAAGATCCCAGATCTCTCGTGGTACCTGTGATACTGTAGGTGTCCTTCCCGGGCCTGGCATCGTCTGACCAGATGTCTACTTTTGTGCTGCAGTTTTCCCAGTTGACAGGAGCCCCTGCACTGTGGAGGAGACGTTGCCAGGTAACGAGAGGGTCTGGAAGCAAGCGTCCTGCCGCCATGTGCTGGAGGCCTCTGGCCATGTTCTGATTTGCAGTGGGAGGTTTTCCTGGTCTCTCAGAACCATCCTACCAGAAATGAAATCACGAGGGAAGGAAAGCAGAGGTAGGAGGCGGCTGCTTCAACCCACCATCCTTGGGAACAGCGCCACTCACCTTCCAGAGTGCTCCAGGTTAGGGCTGGGCAGCAGTAGGACAGAGAGGGCTTTAGCCTTATTGTGAGTTTTTTAATGTCATCATCATAACATTACTTATTTTAATGTAGTTATTTTGGTATTTAATTTTTTTTAAAGAGAGGGAAAAGAAACCTGTATTTTCCTGGTGGAATGAAATGGCTCAGAATGGTATATTAAGGCAATTTTGAAACATTTATTATTTACATAAAGACCAAATATACATCTGTTCTAAGTATTGTGTGTCACCCCACAGTATGGAGCTGTCACATGTTACTACAGATGATACGTACTAAAATTATGAAGTTACTGCACACTAGCTGGATTTATAAAAAAATATGAGTGAGCCCGTGTGTGCCAGTAGCAAAGTCCGCCTTCAGAGCCCTCTGTGCAGTACTCTGCATCCTCCATGCACTTTAAGATGCCTTGGAATGCGCACTTATTCAGAAGGTTTGCAGTTTGCAAAATTCTTTGGCATATGGTGTGTCCTGCGCATGGGTCCAGATCTCTCGGTCTCAGCTTGCATAGTGCTCTGTTGCCAGCCAGGAGGGCAGGTGGCTGTGCTTCCCAGAGACATCTGAGCCTCAGCACATGACCATCCAGAAGGACTTGGGTACTTTCCCTGTGTAAGCATAGTTTGTTGACTGATTATGTCTAAACTTAAAACAGACTGTGGGTCTGGAAGGGTTTGTTTCTGTTGGGGTCACAGATCAGAAAAATGCCCAACTTCAGAATTTTAAAGATAGGAGGAAGGTTGTTTCTTACATGCTTTGAAGGTGGTATTCTCAGTCTTGATTCCAGAATGAAGTAGATGCTCCTCTTTCTCCTACTCGCTGCTATACACAACTTGCTGCTGCTTTGGCTCATAGAATCTAAGGCTGTGAAGAAGAATCATGGCTTAACAAACTACCATGCCCAGGTTTTCTCTCCAGTGTTTAGGACACTGTGTTTGAGTTTTGTGTTTAGCTGAGTTTCCAGGAGACCCCATACACCAGGGTGCTGGGCTTCTGCCACTGCAGCTCTGCTCAGCACCTGCTGCTCATGGCTGCCACAGAGCTGTCTTTCCTTTCCACCACAACTCCCAGCTCCATAGTGGCTCCTCAGTGTCTTACTCTCAAGATGTCTCTGTTTGGTCTTTGCCAAACTTCTGAGCTCCCTCAGGGACTAGCACCTTGCTCTCAGCTCTGCCCTGAACCAAACAAGAACACAAGGGAAACTCACCTAAATCCCTGAGTATGTAGTGCATCCCAAGAGTGTGGATTGCCCTCTTCATTTATGCAGAATATGTGCATGTGGACAGCTGGTCTCCTTAAATCTCTCACCTCGTTTTCCTCTGCTGGGGTCACAGAGTAGCTTTAGTCATGGTCAAAAGGGACAGCAAGTGTCAGAACTTGGGATTGTCTATTCTCTGTGACACAGGAGAGAAGCGACAATCTTGAAGTCCAAACGGCTGCAATTCTAGACAAAGTAGAGTGGTGATCTATGTGCAAAGATTTGAAATTTTTAAAAAAAAGTACCAAGTTCCTGAAATTCAATAAAGTATTTTTATTAATTTTAATTGAAAAAAAAGAATATATTATATTAAGTATAACACTTAGTATACTAAGTGTTATACTAAGTTGAAGGATGAGTACCACTTGATTTCATTTATATGAGCTATTCAAAGTAGTCAAACTCATAGAAGCAAAATGGTAGTTACCAGGGACTTGGGAAGTAGAAAATGGAAAGTTGCTGCACAGTGGCTGTAATGTTTCAGTCAAGCAAGATGAGAAAGTTCTGGAGATCTGTAATAGAGTCTTGTGTTTGTAGTTAACCATATGTATTGTACACTTAAATATTTGTTTGATGCCCTCAACACAGAGAAACTAAAGCAGATACATTTTTTTTATTTTTAAAAACTGATAATTTATTCCTATTTAATACAGAAGGTTTTTACAAATTTTCAACCATTTTTTTCTTTTTCTCCATGAAAAAATAATCTCTCCTTTATTGCCTGGGTGGCCAACCAGGTGTGTCTCATCTGAAAGGCACATAGGCAAAACATAACAAGAGAATGAGCTTGTTTCTACACCTCAATACAAGCTAGTATGTGGAACTTATGACTGTTTAAAATCAAAATTAAGGAACTGAAGTTAGGGGAAAAAAAAACAAAAAACCTCCAGCCACATGGTTTACTTCTCACAGTTCTTGGAATTCCTCTGCGCAGATCTTTACTTGTTCAATAACCTATGTCTTTCCCTTTGTTAACACCATTAGCATTTTTTGTGGTTTTCGGGGGAGATTTCTGGTGGTACTGGGGTTTTAACTCAGGGAGTCATGCTTGCAAGGCAGGTGCTCTACCACTTGAGCCACTCCACCAGCCCCAGTACCACTAGTTTTACTAGTGATCCATCACTAGACTAAGCCTCAGTAAACTACCCCGTGAACCTTACCTCCCACCTCCCAACCACCACTCTATACAACTTAGTAATACAATAAAACAGTATTTTACTTCCATGAAGAAAACACAATGGTCACTTATAAAACAAACCAAAGAGTCCACCAAGCCAGAGACTGTGACAAGATGCCAGATAATCATACAGAATGAATGGCTCAGTTGACCGGTAACTGAATATGGTGGCTTTTTTTCAAAAGAAAAATTAAACATAGCCTAGATCTGGGGCAACAAGAAGCCATTACCTTTGGAAATTTTGGTTTCCAGTTCCTTCCTGATACTATAAGGAGCTGCATTCTTGTTGCCACTCAGGCCAGGACAAAGATCACAATGGCTTTCAGTCTTCCATTTCATCACTTTTCAGTGTACTCTGGGGGTGGCAGACCCAGGTGGAAAACAGGGTTTGTGCTTAGGACACTTGTAATGCTGTTAACCAAGCCTGATGCACAAAAGATGAGGAAACAGACACTTCCCAGCCAAAGACCTGTTTGAGACTTACTAACCCAGCCTCAAAAAGTCCCAGACAAGGAAAAGGCAAACTATGTAGAAAGTAAAAAGATCAGTGGTTGCCAGGATTGAGGGGAGAGGTGAGAGAAGGAAAAATTTGTGGAGCACAGAGAATTTTTAGGTCAGTGAAACTACTCAGGATGACACTACAGTGGTGGAAACATGTCATTATGCATTTGCCCAAACCCACAGAATGTACCACAGAGTGAACTCTAGTGTAAAGTGGACACTGTATTGAGTGGTAAGATGTGTTGATGCAGGTTCGTGCATTGGAAGAAAGGCACCCCTCTGGTGCAGGGTGTGGACAACAGAGTGGGGAGAAAGTTGTGTATGTATGGGAGTAGGGGCATGAGAAAAGTCTCAATGCCTTCAATTCAGTTTTGCTGAAAACTTAAAATTGCTCTTAAAAAAATAAAGTCTTAAAAAAAAATCCCAGACAACTAGTCCTGGAATTCTCCCACTTTGCCTATAATGGTTTACAAAAGAAAAATAAAATCTGTTGGAAAACACTTCCCAGAAGATTCTTGTCAGTTTTTTTTTTGTCCCTTCCCTCTCTGATAAACCACTGCCAGAAAGCCCCATCTCTTAACATTTCCCAAGAAACAAATCCTAAGATGTCTATAAAGTTCAAATTGCCAGGAAATACCAGAGGAAACTCCCCTCCGACACTTCAGTCATCTCGTGTCATGCCCTGGAGTGTGCTGGCTGAAACAGCAATCTCAGGATTTAGTCATGCATTAGTCTGAAATGTTTGTCTTTACTCATCCATCACTCACCCAATTACAGAGCCGCCTTCTCTGGAATGTCTTAGGAAAAGTAAGTCCTCACTGTGAACCGATGGTTACTACGCTCTGAATTTAAACAAAAGAACATGACCACCGACACAACTCAGACGCCTCCATTCCACATCTGTCTATATGCATGACAGCAAAGATGGAGCAAGTGGCCAATGTCACACACATCCCAGCTTCTGTTTAACCACCTGAAATCTCCTTGCACAAAATGTGTCTGAATGGAGAAGAAAGAAAGGGAGATGGGAGACGTTTTGACTTTGGAAGTCTGAGTCTTCCTGTGAGGAGAGGATGACATGAGTCTCATGTATTTCACATGTCATACACATGTGTATTTCATATTGCTCAGGTACTTACTGCCTTGGGTTTGTCCCCAGATATCCCTATATTTACCCTTGAAAAGCTTTCCTGGGAAGCCTGTGAGTGTTAAGTAAACTCTCTGTCGCATGAGTAATAAATGTCTCCAAAAATGCAACTTGAAATGCACCACAGGAGAGGCAGCCCTCTCTCCGCTTACCTGGGAAAGCGTGTGGATTGGGCGACCCTCTCTTAAGGCACTTAGAACAGAGGATGTGCACGGTGTAGTGCAGTCCAGGCCATTCCTGATGTAGGACATTCAGTTCCTCCACCAAAGGGGTGATGGCTTGCCATGCAGTCCATATATTTGGTAACGATGCATGGCTGAAAATGGACAGGGTGTCTGGCTTCAGGACCCCCTTAGCAGGTCTGTAACTCACCACCACAGGAACCTTCCCTCTGTATGCAAAGATCTAAAATTTACCATCCGACCTATGCACCACATGGCTGTTGATCTGGACACTGTAGCGTGCAAACAACCCAGGTGGAAAGGTAAAAGGAAAATTAGACTCCATCTGCAATTGCTCAGCCACAAAAGACTGCCCAGCTAGGTTGGTCCCATTAATCCAGGCCTCTGCATGGGGCACCTCGTTCTGCACATAGCATGGAAACTTGTACCAAACTGTGGACCCATTCAAAGGCTTGCCCTTGGGTTTATTGAGGCAGTAACAGAGTCCCATCTTCTCCAGCAGCTCCAGCAGCATCTGCAAGTCCTGCTGGGCTTGGATATGAGGCTTAAGCAGCAATCGAATGACATGGGCTGGCAGGAGTCCATGCAGCAGAAAGCCTTCCACATAATGATGGAATTGGGTGGCCTGGAGCAGGTCCTGGCCCAGGCTGGGCAGCGCCATCCCTGGGGAGCTATCTCCCTCGCCCTCACTCTCTCCACTGGTCCCCAGGAGCAGTTTATGCAGCAGCAAGGAGGCATCCCTCTGGAAAAAGACATTGAGGATGTCGATGAGGCGGGTGAGGTTGTGGAAGACACGCTCCTTGAAGGCCGGGCTATCCTCAAAGTAGAGCAGCTTGCCGCTCTCATGCAGGTAAGAAAGGGCACACTGCAGTCGGTCCTCAGTCAGACCTGCCTGCAGGCCCAGGGGAGCCAAGTCCCACCAGCTCAGCCAAAGGCGCTGGGCCTGAGGTGGCTGGAAGTGCAGCTCCTCCAGCACCTGCCAGGACCTCGGCAGGACTCCATGCAAGTTGAGGAAGATTTCTTGGTGCTCAGCTACCGAGAGCAGCTTGTCCCGAAGGCGTTGTAATTGGTGAGGGTCCCTGCAGCTAACAGGCAACACCGGGGAGAGGATCTGCAGACGGTGGTTGAGCAGGTATTGAAAATGGGCCTTGGACCTCCGCAGGTTCTTGTCCGAAACACCATAGTAGGCCGCATGGGGGCTGGCAGAGCGCAGTTCAAAGTCCTGGGCCAGGGCCTCGTCGGCCACCTGAGCTAGACAGCTGAGGCCCTGTGCATCACGCTTCTCCTGCAGGGCGATCTGGCGGTGAATGTCCAGACACTTCTCCTCCAGCACCCGCTCCCCGCCCGCGTGAGTGCCCACAACGCACACCACGGCATGAGGCACACGGGCCCCCACCCGATGCAAGAAGGAGCCCACAGTGGTGGGAAAGCAGCGTGGTTCATAGGTGGCCAAATTGACCACCAGCACATACAGGGCCCCTGGGGACAGGAAGAAGGGCTGGATCACCTCATAGCTTTCATCCCCAACTAAGTCATACACAATGAACCACAGGTCCAGGGAGGCTTCTGCTAAAGCAGATACTTTAAAGCAACTGAGGCCAATAGGAGAAGGGGACCAGGAACTACAGAAAAGGTTAGATCAAGAAGAATTAATCTAGAAGGTAACACACACTCACAGGAAATTAATGTGAGTCAACTCCCTGTATAACTATCCTTATCTCAACCAGCTAAAACCCTTGTTCCTTCCTGTTATTGCTTATACTCTCTCTACAACAAAATTAGAGATAAGGGCAGAATAGTCTCTGCCTGGTAATGAGGGGTAATGGGGAGCAAGAGAGGGGGCAGAGGGAAGGGTGGAGAAATGACCCAAACAATGTATGCAGGTATGAATAAAATAAAAATAAAAAATATTTGTTTCAGGGAAGATGAAGCAGGAGGATCATGAGTTCAAGGCCAGCCTGAGCTATATATTTTTTGAGACTCTGTCTCAAAAAAAATTTGTCTGAAAAAGAAAAGCAAATACTCTCAAACTGGAGATCTTGATGGCCCAGAGCCTGATAGTGTGTGAAAAGACATGATATCGGCATGTCATTCAGAAGAATCAGCTAAGAAAGTGGAGTCAGTTTAGAAATACTTTAACCAATATTGAATTTATATATTTCTGATGAATGTAAATAAAAGTTATAAATAATAAACACCCATGTCCAAAACAGAGAAAGGAAAAAGAAAGGCGAGTCAAGTGTGAAGTCTGAGAATTGTGCCAAATGGCTCTCCAGGTACATGGGATTCATCATTGGAGGAGGAATGTGGACATTTGAGCTTGATCTATTGGCTTTTGAGCAGTCAAATGCAGGATTTGGGGTTGTGGTGGCAGGAAAGGAGGGAGGCTTCCAGACCAAAACTGGTTAGATTCTTTCAAATGCAAGTCAGAGAACAGTTACAAAATATTTACTCATCATGAAGTAGCTTATTGTCACTGTCACACAGCACACATTGCTGACAGTGAAGAATCTAGACAGGGATGTTCTTCACCATTTCAGTGCCACAGACAAGACTGAAAGGCATACAGAAATGACTTTCTTGTGATATGTGAGGCTAAACTGCAAAATCAACATCCTCTCCATATGCTTATGTAATAGAAAATCTTTATTTACAATATTGGTCTCTGTTATCACTGCATTGATTGGCATCTAAAAGTCACCATTTGTACCTTAATCCTTAGTTGGAAACATCCAGTCCTGAAATATATTGATGGTAGCTGGAAATAGAAAAGTAATATTGCGAGGATTCCTCTGACGTGGAAAATCAGAACTTACCAAATAAACAATTTTCTGTCTTGCTTCCCAAATCAACAGGTCAATTGGCTCTGACTAAGTTTTGAATGTATATTGAACCTCAATATTATAGACTCTTTTAACCTAGTTGCATAAATCTGTCTAAGTTAGTAAGTCATGTTGATATGTTATTGAGAGAAAAGAATTTTTAAATAATTGACAGGATAATTCGATGGTGAAAAGACAGGGAGTCATTTTCCTACAGGATCTTGCAGACATCTCTGGTTCATTTCTCCCAGATTCTATGCAACAGCTCTTAAATCATTCTTCTCTTCTTACCTAATGTCCCCCAGTCATTATCTCACCCTTCAATACAGCCATCTCCAAACTTTCCAATACTATTCAATTATTTAATTAATTGCATATTAGTTTCACAGTTATTTGTGTGGCAGACACTATTCCCAGGTACTTGAGAGCAAAACAGATAAAAATTTCCTCCCCTCAAGGAATTTACATCTTACCTGGTGGAGACAGAAAAACAAGAAACATTAAGTAAATAAATTAGATAGTAGGTTACATGACACATGTTAAGAAACAGCAAAGTAAAGTAAGGTCAGGAAGGTCAACACCATGGTGGAGGAGGATATGTTACAGTATTAGATAATCTGGCAAGAGAAATCTCAGAGAGGTGAAAAGGGAAAGGAGCTGGCCAACAGTGGCTCATGCCTGTAGTCCTAGCTACTCGGGTGGCAGAAATCAGGAGGATTATGGTTCAAAGCCAGCCTGGCAAATATTTTGCGAGACCCTATCTCGAAAATACCCAGCACAAAAAAGGGCTGGCACAGTGGCTCAAAGCGTAGGCCCTGAGTTCAAGCCCGAGTACCATTAAAAAAAAAGGGAAAGAAGTTGGCTAACTTGGTATCCATGGGAAAAGCATTCTAGGAGAGGAAGCAGCTAGAGAATAAACTGCAAAGCCAGAACTCTGCTTGGTGTCTTAGTCCATTGGTTGTTTTGCTATAACAAAATAGCTGAGCCTGCATGATTTAGAAAGAATAAAGCTTTGTTTTGGCTTTGAGTTATAGCAGCTGAGAAATCCAGCATCTGCTTGGCTTCTGGCAACTGCCTTGGTCTGTGTCTTAACATGGCAGAAAAGTGAAAATCAAGTGTGTGTGTGTATAGAAATGAAAATGCTTGTGGTGGCTTTGCTTTATAACAAACTGCTCTCCTGGTAACCAATCCACCTGCAAAAACTGCATGAATCTCTCTTAATGACTTGATTACCTTTAAAGGTTCCACTACCTCTTAACACTTTTACTGCACTGGAGACAAAACCTCAGCATGAGATTCAGTCAAACCACATCTAAATCATAGCACCAGTATCTTCCAGGAACATCACAAGCTTGTTGGCTAACATGGGAGACTGGAGGGTAGAGAAGTAAAAATATCTTCTGTTTCTTTCTTTTTTTCCACAGCAGGACTCAAGTCAGAAATGCAGACAATCTTATGGAATATTCTTCTCCTTCCACCATTCTCCCTTCTGTCACTACGTCCTGTTGGATTTACACATCAGCTTCCTTCTGAGGCCTTTTCTGGCTTATTTTAGACTCCTATCACTCCATATAGAGATTGCTGAAGCAGGCCTTGTATAGTCTGCTGTCCACTGGCTTTCAATCTGGGCTCCAAGAAATTCCAGCACTGTCTCTGCAGTGATTTGGAGTCAGTCACCTTACAGAATCCAGGAGATCCCACTTAGCTCCCTAATGCTAAAAATAAATCAAGGCATTTCCCCAAAATGTTGACTGGGTTGTCTCTGGATGGTATTATTTCAGGTGACTTTTATTTTCTTGTATAAATTTTTATATTTTTTAAATTTTATATTACATTTATAATAAATAACAAAGTTTTGTAATAAAGCATTAATAATAGAGTCTTTTTGTGTTATTATTCATATGTGCATACAAGGCTTGGGTCATTTCTCCCTCCCTGCCCCCACCCCCTCCCTTACCACTCACTCCACACCCTCCCTCTTCCCCCCACCCCCTCAATACCCAGCAGAAACTATTTTGCCCTTATTTCTAATTTTGTTGTAGAGAGAGTATAAGCAATAATAGGAAGGAACAAGGGGGTTTTTGCTGGTTGAGATAAGGATGGCTATACAGGGAGTTGACTCACATTAATTTCCTGTGCATGTGTGTTATCTTCTAGTTTAATTCTTTTTGATCTAACCTTTTCTCTAGTTCCTGCTCCCCTTTTCCTATTGGCCTCAGTTGCTTTTAAGGTATCTGCTTTAGTTTCTCTGTGTGTTAAGGGCAACAAATGCTCGCTAATTTTTTAGGTGTCTTACCTATCCTCACCCCTCCCTTGTGTGCTCTCACTTTTATCATGTGCTCAAAGTCCAATGCCATTGTTGTGTTTGCCCTTGATCTAATGTCCACATATGAGGGAGAACATGGTTTTTTTTTGGTCTTTTGGGCCAGGCTAACTTCACTCAGAATGATGTTCTCCAATTCCATCCATTTACCAGCGAATATACATTTCATTCTTCTTCTTGGCTGCATAAAATTCCATTGTGTATAGATACCACATTTTCTTAATCCAGTCATCGGTGGTGGGGCATCTTGGCTGTTTCCATAACTTGGCTATTGTGAATAGTTCCACAAAAAACATGGGTGTGCAGGTGCCTCTGGAGTCACCTGTGTCACAGTCTTTTGGGTATATCCCCAAGAGTGCTATTGCTGGATCAAATGGTAGATCAATGTCTAGCTTTTTAAGTAGCCTCCAAATTTTTTTTCCAGAGTGGTTGTACTAGTTTACATTCCCACCAACAGTGTAAGAGGGTTCCTTTTTCCCCACATCCTCGCCAAAACCTGTTGTTGGTGGTGTTGCTAATGATGGCTATCCTAACAGGGGTGAGGTGGAATCTTAGTGTGGTTTTAATTTGCATTTCCTTTATTGCTAGAGATGGTGAGCATTTTTTCATGTGTTTTTTGGCCATTTGAATTTCTTCTTTTGAGAAAGTTCTGTTTAGTTCACTTGCCCATTTCTTTATTGGTTCATTAGTTTGGGAGAATTTAATTTTTTAAGTTCCCTATATATTCTGGTTATCAGTCCTTTGTCTGATGCATAGCTGGCAAATATTTTCTCCCACTCTGTGTGTGTTCGCTTCAGTTTAGAGACAATTTCTTTTGATGAACAGAAGCTTTTTAGTTTTATGAAGTCCCATTTATCTATGCTATCTCTTAGTTGCTGTGCTGCTGGGGTTTCGTTGAGAAAGTTCTTACCTATACCTACTAACTCCAGAGTATTTCCTACTCTTTCCTGTATCAACTTTAGAGTTTGTGGTCTGATAATAATAGGGTCTTTTGTGGGGGAAAGATTTGCCCTATTTATTTCTTAACATAAGGAAATAAATTACCTTGCTGAGTAAAAAGGCAATCAATAAAATGATACTTGGTCTGTCCATAGAAAAGAAAACTAAGATACATGTCATCATGTTAGTGACAGCGTTCTCCGAACTCTGTGGTGACAGATAACTTTTCCTTTGTGTTTTTTATTCATTGTTGCATGTTTTATACATTGAATACATATTATTTCTATACTTTTTGCAGAGGTGCTACTGGGATTTGAACTCAGGGCCTTATGCTTGCTAGAACATCACTCTACCACTTGAGCCATACCTCCACCCCATTTTTTGCTATAGTTATTTTTAGTTATTTTTGCCCAGTGCCAGCCTTTGACAGCATTCTTCCTACCTCTGCCTCCTGCATCAGCACACCTATCTTGTTTGTTGAAATGGAGTCTTTCTAACTTCTGAGGGTTGGTAGGTTGGCTTAGAGTGATGATCCTCTGGATCTCTGCCTCCAGAGTAGCTGACTATAGGTGTGCACGACCACACCCAGCTTACTTTAGAAAGAAAGCAAAGTTCTTGTTTTATACATTTTTAAAAGCTAGTACTAAAAGGCTACATAGTATCACCTTAGATTGAATCTACCCTGGTTCATGCTGATTAAATCACCTCCTGTTCTTACCTTCTGATATGCACTACTGCCCTGCTGACTGGCCACATCTAGAAACCCAGGAAAAGAAGGAAATGTTCATGCAATTATTTCTTGTTTGTGAAGTCCTAAGATAAGTGAAAATGACATCAGAAAGAGTACCTACAAGTGTGCCATCCTACCAAACAGCAATATGGTAAGGGCTGGAACCATGAACATCAACTTGGAAACTCTCACATTTTTTGTTAAGATTCTCAACAGCAATGATATTATCTATTTTTTGCAACCATTTAATGCCTATTTGGTTTTAATTTTTCAATCCTAGAAGCTCATTTTTCCTCCCATTGAAATTTGCCTCATCATTTCAACCTCTCCTCTTAGAATTGCACTTGCTTTTCACTTGATCATATCCTAAACACAAAGGGTTAACTATGGACTTCGCCTTACACTTGTTCCTAGAAATCCTGACCAGAAAAACTCTCCTGAATGGGAACTCAGTGTCTTTATTTTATGTCTAAGCCTTCTTCCCAGTCAATGAGCCTCCCTAAAAGATTAATGTAGTTTGAACTTTTATAGAGGAGTATCATTTGTGCGCTGTCATGTTTAGCACAAATGGTGCTTCAGTCACAGCTCAGTAATATTCCAGCTATTATTTCCAGACATTTGAGAGTTTAAAGAATTATTGAAGGGCAGCTGTACTCGTTTGGTAATGTGGCAGAGAGCTCTGCTGTCTATATGTGATTTCAGCAAATAGAATCTCTGTTAATTTCATTGCACATAGCAAAATAGTTGTGATAGTAACCACAATACAACATCCCACTGGAGAAAATAGCTAAGATACATTTTTATAAGAGCTTCAGGAGAATTAAAGAGGAATTGAGGGTGAGATATTGAGAAATTACCTTTTCATATCTAATGTCAACCCTCGAAACTATGGTTTGTCAGTCCTGAATGTGAGGCCACAGTCTTTGCTTGGGCTTAATTTGTCTGCAGGACTGCCATGATACAAGATAACATAATGAGGACACTAGAGCCACTGAAGGTGAATGAGGAGTTAATGTCACCTAGGAGAAAACATAACCATACCAAATTCTAGATTTTTGGTGAGAAACTTCCCTGCCTTTTGAGCTGTATAAAGAGCATTGATGAAACAAGATTCAATTTTTTAACATCTGAATTAACAGATATGTCTTAAAGGAAGAACAGAAGTCTTGATCATTGTCAAGTGTCACTGAATAGCAGTTTAAATATTTCCAGATGTATGCTGATCAGAAAGAAAGAGAGACACTTGCTGTCATGAACGGTCCTTTTCATGTATGTTGTTCCAATTCTATCAAGTCCTAGCCTTAAATTCCTTAATGAATTCTCCATTCTAAGCAATCATATCATTTCCATCTCTTAGTAATGAGAATCCTGAGAGCAGGGATGGATCTTATCTTCTGTTTCCAGATTATGAAGGCATAATTTTGCCATTTGGGACACAAGCTTTTTCAGAACATATTATAGTTTTTTCCTACTTACTAGAAGTTATTCTATGATATTAGAATTAACTTACAGAGACATTCTGAAAATACTCAGTTATTTTATTAGTTTGAAAAAAACTCCAAGTCAATTGGAGTTAATAAGATAGGTTGGTAGAGGTTTTCAGCTAATTGCAACAACAAAAAAGTACTAACTGATACACAGATCCAGAAAAAAAAATCAAATGACATCTATTAAAAACACAAACCAGGAATTATGTCATCCAAGATCAAATAAAGCATTTTAGAGCCTATAATTTATATAGTACTCATCACCAGGCCACCCAGGCTCTGTGACAAATGAGCAACTGTGATCATTTAGAACAGGACGTCATATCATTTCTCAGATTCTGCCTGTAATACCCTTTTTATTATTTATTGTTTTTGTTTCCTGCCTCTAAACAAAACTGGAACTGAGGATTAGACGCAATTTTCTCTTTGTTTCAGGGGCCAGTTGACAAACTGCAAGAACTTAATTTCTGGTCTCTTGGTAGAAATTTGAGGACTGTCAGCTCTTAGGCTTTTAAGTAATTCCACCAAGTGTAGGTAGGTTTGGGAATTGCGCTGTCTTCAGTTTTGTTGTTGTTCTGTTTTATTTTGTTTTTAATAATTGCAACATATCTTAATATAAATGGGCTGTCCTTGGAGAAAATCGGCAGGTGCTCCCCTGTGTTCAACAACATGTATTTGTCTACAGGCAAAGAGGATCCAAGGATCTAACTTGGAACAGCTGCAGCTCCTGAGACTGGTGTGATGGAGCTCAGCAAATACAGCGGAGCATTTGGGGGATTATGCCAGGAGATGCTACCTTGGGGGAGGTTTGACAATAGAAGAATGATGACAGAGGCAATCTGGGGCAAAAAGGAATTTAGATTGTCCATGGCACTCTGGAGAAAGCTTTTAAAGCTCACAGATTTAAGTCATCATAGGTTTTTGTGAAAGGAAGGGGTATGGTCCCCAAGATTTCCCACCTTCTCCCTGACCTCTATGCACACAATTCATAATCTTCAGTGCTATGAAGCAGATGGATTTTTCTCCCACAGTTGTACATGTGGGATGGCAAAAACAACTATAAGAAAGGAATATTATCAATATATGACCAGAAATCTTTAAAAGCTAGGAGTTTTCTCTTGCTGGTGCCAAGAAAAGAAATTCATTTGGAGCAGGATTCAATTCACCACTGCAGGCTGAAGACAGAGGGAGTCACACACCAGGAAGTGTGAGTGAGATCTAGCAGCTGAAAGCAGACCCATCCAGCTGACACCCATCAAGAAAATGGAAATCTTGGTCCTGCAACTATGAAAACTGAATTTTGTAAGCAACAATGGGCACTGGCCATAGCCACACACCTGCTTAAATGAGGGTCCAGGTGTAAATCCAGCTCTGTCTCCTCAAAGTAGGAAAATGGGCTGTCCAGATCTGCCTTGGGGTGACATGGTATAGAGTGTGGTTGTGACTGTGTCTGGTTTTCCACATGGACTGGGCACCCGGCGGGGGGAGTGGTCAGCATATCAGTACACCTTGGGGAGGTTTTGTGTGAGGGCAGAGAGTGGGTAGAGTATAACTTCAGAGAATAAGCCTCTTATAGCACTGCGGACCAATAACTTTGTAGATCCAGGGGACCAGGCACCTACATTCCAGAGCAACCTCAGCAAACCCGTTGATCTGGAAAATCTTCAGGGAGCAGAGTGTTCTCTTGGTGTCTCCCAACTTGCACAAGCTCAGTCTCCATGACCTCCCCAAGTGATGCCTAGTACAAATCGGCAGATGTTGGGTCACCACAGTCCCATGAAGCCAGGTGATCACCAAGGTGACACAGTGATTGCCAGAATAGGTATCAAGGGCCCTTCAGACCATACTGAACCTTGTTTAAAGCAAGAGATCCCTACCAATTTGTGTGTGTGAGTGTGTGTCTATATAATATGTTGGGGCATTTTTCTCTACACTCTAAAGGCAAATAGCTTTTCTGTTTTATATTTGAATATCACCTCATTATACCCATCCAGATTGAAAATGCACCCATGTCCATACAAGAGGATTCCTGGAGCAATGGAATACACACAGTTGGCTCCCTGGAGAATTTATTGGAGCAACTTTGGATTGCCATGCTCCTTGGGGACATCACATTTTTCAACCACTTCCTTGGCATCTATGGCCAGTTCACTACTGCAGAGCATGTTCTCCATGTTCTCTTCACGTGGTGAGCACTGTTTCCTTACCCAGTGAAGTCCCTCACTCCTGGCTGTGATTTGGCCATGCAGTGTCCTGCTCTTCTCCCAGTTTGATTGTAGACACTAGTGTGCCCAATAGAACACCCTCGTGAGGTGTTTCCATTGCCTAGAGGGAATAGCCATAGAAGCACTTGTCTTGAGCCTGATGTTGTGTAGGCAGCTAGCCAGGGCTGTGGCTGCTCTGTGCTTCCCCAGTCCCCCTGGGAGAATCATGCTACCTTGGGCCTCACTTACTCTCGGCCTCAGCAATCAGTCTTCCCAGTTTTAAAAGAAAATCCCCAGTCTATGGAGTACTATCTGACCTGTCTTAAGCAGATTGGCAGCTCTCAGGTCCTGAGAAACACAGGCCAAGCAAGTTATCTGGGAATGAGCCAGGTGGTCTCATTCCTTGCACAATGTAACATGAGGCACCTAGTACATGTGGGCAAGTTTCCAGGAATGTAGTATATGTCAGTCAAAAAGCAGGCAGATCCCTGACGTCCTGAGCTCCATTCCTTTGGAAAATTACTCAGTAATGCTATGTTTCATCGCAGGTTCAGTAGTGTTGACAGCTTCTGTGAGTCTGCATGTGTGACTCCCACGAGTCTGATAGACCATAGAACAAGCTGAAAAAGTGAGCTGCTGTTGGGTAAAGAGGGTGGGCACCTGTGCCAAGACTGTGTACATTTAGGGGATGCTTTGGGTAGGACAAGGCACACACTGGGCCCCAAAACTCTTGTGATTCTGATTAGAGGGCTGCAGTCTAGATCTTCACCTGAACTAAAAGAAATCCAAGAGGACTGTAGGTGGGACTCCTCTCTGTGCACCTGAGAGGGAGAGGTGTTTCTAAGGCCTCAGTGAAGTCCCCTTTGAGAATTCATCATCTACTTCATAGCCTATCCCTGTGAGCTTGCCCACTCTGTTGCCCAACAGAGAATCCTCACAGATTCTCTGGAGAGATTCTCTAGGGGAAGTCTAGTGGATTCTCTGTTGGAGAAGCACCAGAGAAGAGAGCTTCCTAGAGTGCTCACAGTAAGGCTGGGCAAGTCCATTGAATAGTGTAATTGGCAGACAGCCAACACATATTGCTTAGGGAAATGACACAGCTGGAACCACAATATATGAGGGACACCAGGGCCCTGTGGAAGCCAAGCAGGTGAACATGCCTTAGTGGATTTGACATCACAGAGACACACAGAGCAGTATATAGAGATTCCCTGAACAGGGGAGATGTGCTCAGACCATTTAGCCTTGGCACTCTCCCATGGTGGCTCCCAGCATCTCCCTATTCTTTTCCTTCCCTGCCATTTCCTGCACAGACAAAGGTTTGGTCTGGTTGTTCTGTCCTCTATATAGACAGGGATGGGCACAGGATGCCAGGTCCAACAAATTCACTCTGGCAGTGTGGGAAAAGGAAGACCAGTTTCTGATTCTGTTGCCCTTCTATGTGCTTCCAGGGCACTCACCTATATCCTTCACATGTGGCTTAACATGTACTGGGAGGATTTCTATGAACCTAGTCAGTTTCCCTGCCTCAAATTGATGGTAGTGTACTTGAACCTCCATATGCCTGGTTCAGAGGAGCTGCACCTGGCCCAACATCTCTTGTTTCAGTGGGAGTTTCTGGAGCCCAGTGAAGCAGCCTATGAAGGTGAGGAGCCTGGGTTTGCATGCTGGGCACATGAGGAGTGGTCTGTGCAGGGCCCCACCTTGAGGACCTTCCATTTTATGAGGTGGGCAAGGAGGAATGAGGAGCCTGTGACTCCACAGCACTTGGACCACAGTCTAGGCTGTGTTCTTCTCTGCAGTCAGGGCTCTGGCTTCTCTGGCAACCTTGGCCTTTTCTGATTTTTGAAAGCATGAGGACAAGGCGTTCATATGAGGATCTTGTCTCCTCCTGCAGGGCTTTTTTTTTTTTTCCTACTCAGCGTTTATTTTCATTGGAAGATAGTGGAAATCATATATAAATCATGGGCAATACGAATTCTTCTTGCCTGGCAAATGTCCACATGAATCTGTTAACCTCTATGTACAGATACAGCATTTTGTTTAATAGAAAGACAGGGTGGTGTGGCAGTTAATTAGCAACCGATACTGTAAACTACAGTAGATACAAAGTTTTATATAAATTAATTGCCATTATAAAAAGGCAACTGTTTTAGCTAAGAAGGTACAAAAACTGGTACTTCCATAAATATAACAAGAAGCTAAGTGAAGAAATACATAACAGATTGTTTTTCCTATATATTTGAATATGCAAACTAAGACACCTGTGGCACTTTACACAAAAGTAGGAATAGGACGTACACCCCCACACCCCCATCCTCTCCCACCCGGCCAGGCCCCACCCTTCCCCCCATGGATTTCCAAAACATGACAAATTCTAGGGTTATAAGGATAGGATGCCTCAAGGAAGCAGCAAGACAGCGAGCTCTGACCTGCTAGACAAAGAAGGAGCCTTATTGACAGTTGTAAAGCATTAGGCGTCAGACAAAACTTGTCAAAAACAGCTGTTGTTGGGTACTGATTGATAATGTTTTCATTCTGATGGCTGAGACGCTGCAGACAGTCGTGGGGCTGTGGAGAAGCCCATCGCTGGAGTGCACGTGAACACACACAGACAACGGGAAGTCATTTAACAGATGGCTGAGGAGCACTCCGCCATTTTAACTGCTCAATTGCTGACGCTTCAACCCAATGCAGGGCCTGATCCATCTCCCTCAGAGGCCCAAGGATTTGAGCCAAATCCTATGCCAGGACCAACAATAAGTTCTCCCAGGCCTATACCTGAGGACACAGAGCTGGAGATGATCAGTGATGACACTCAGCTCCTTGCCACATCTGAGGACCATAAAGAGCACTTCATGGTAATGGGTGGTGGGAGTGGCTACGCAGGCCAGGATGGTGTCGGTTCTCACCTGTTCTGTGCAGATGTGGCTTTCTTTGGTTCACAGGCATTTTTCCCATCAGAAGATCCTTCCTGCCCTGGCCTTCTTGCCAGAGAGCATGAGCCAATGGAAGAGGAGCTTTACTTCCTTTTTTCTTAGTTTGTTTTATTTGTTCTTTTTGTTGTTTTTGTGATATAAAAATGAGTCTATGAAAATTACTGTTGTTCACATGATATTTACTGACTCAATAATACATTATTGTAACTAATTGACAACATCATTTGGCATAAATAAACATAATTTTCTTTACTCTTTGACATTAGATGCCAAACTTCATGGCATTTCCTTCAGACCTGGTAGCATAGCACTTCATGCTGACAGATGCTGTGAATGGGTCTGCAGGGGAGGGTGGTAGCGAGTGTCCTTCAGGCTGGTTCTGCACACACCTGGCATCTCCTGTCTAAGAGCCATTTTCCCATTCAATTCAACCTGAAGAGGGCCATTTTCTTAATGCAAAACTTCAGGTCAACCTTTGGACTATAGATGTGTGCTCCCTCCAGTCACTGTGCAGAGTCAGGGACGGGGTAGAGGTGCATCTATGCATATATTTACCTCCTATGCTATGACCTCAGGCATTTGTTTGAGGCTGGAGATCGCTGACCCACCCCTTTTGTGAGTATAACATGGTATTTAGAGTGCAGGGCTTGTGTGAAAGAGATGGATGCTGTGTTCACCAGGTCCAGGAGTATGTGAGCATGAGTGACAAATGGACAGCTCCCTGAGAGAGGAAAGGACTTTTGAATCATACTGGGATGACCTTGATGTCAGAGTTTATAAACCAATGGGTTGCATTTGTCATTTGTGGGAGTCACAGTTCCTGGACAGCAACCTGTTTGGCTATTAATATCCCTAAGACTAATCCCTAAGTCTATTTCAATGAGACTTTAGAATCTAATTTGGTAATACCATTTGGATATAGCAAAATAGTATGGAAACTATAATGCTCAGAACTTCTTTGAATTATAGACCAACAAACACAAAGACACACAGAGTTTTTTTTTATTGTTTTATTATTCATATGTGCATACAAGGCTTGGGTCATTCCTCCCCCCTGCCCCCACTCCCTCCCTTACCATCCACTCCACCCCCTCCCTCTCCCCCCTAACCCCTCAATACCCAGCATAAACTATTTTGCCCTTATCTCTAATTTTGTTGAAGAGAGAGTATAGGCAATAATAGGAAGGAACAAGTGTTCCTGGTTGAGATAAGGATAGCTATACAGGGAGTTGACTCTCATTAATTTCCTGTTCGTGTGTGTTGCCTTCTAGGTTAATTCTTTCTGATCTACCCTTTTCTCTAGTTCCTGGTCCCCTTTTCCTATTGGCCTCAGTTGCTTTTAAGGTATCTGCTTTAGTTTCTCTGCATTAAGGGCAACAAATGCTAGCTAATTTTTTAGGTGTCTTACCTATCCTCACCCCTCCCTTGTGTGCTCTCGCTTTTATCATGTGCTCAAAGTCCAATACACAGAGCTATTTTAATTTTAGTACCAAATTTATCCCTTTTATCCCTCAGTTAAGAGTAAATCCAAATTTAAAAACACTTTTCTCCTCTTAGGAGGGTGGCATTTTTAGTGATTTTGATCTCAAAACACACAAATAAAGGAGACTAACAAACCCAATTTTCTTATAGCTCTTACAGTAAGGAGAAGATCTCTAGAAAGAATGTATCTCTATATAAAAGTCAAAAAAATTGTTAAATCATTGAATGAAATTTCCAGTGGTGGAATATATGTATAACAAAATGTATATAAATAACAACACAAGGAACTAGCAGCAAAAATCAAGACACTAGCTAAAAATACACAAAATCAAATCTATGCTTCATTACAAATGATCAGGATTTTGATACATAAGGCCAGAAATTATTTTTCCCTTTAAGTCCTGAGATATCTGTCAGGTAACGAACAAAAGAGACTGTGTTTTTATTTGGCTTGAGTAAAGTGGAGCTTTAAAATGAAGTGCAATGTTAAGTCATGGTATAAAATATGAATTGGAGAATGCAGAAGTTAATTTCATTTCGACTATTGCA